GTTTTTGAAAAGCACTGTGAACTTCAGAAAAGTGTTTACGTGATGTACTGTATGTGCCTGTTCTGGTAAGAAATCTATAAATGTGTCTGTAATTCAGCTAAATGTACATTTTGCTTTAAAAGGTATTTTCTTTGAATTGCTTATTAACAGTGTATTGAATCCCCTTCCACATTATTAAATAAACTTAAATCTACAAATGTATTAAAAAAATTAAAAATTCTAGGCTTAAACATTAAGATTACTTAGGTGTTAATTATATCTCTTTCTTTTGATCTCTTCTTTAGCCATTTTGTTGGTAACTTAACTAGGTTTGCACATATTACATTTCTAATGACGTCCTTAATGACGTCCTTAAGTTATGCAGTAGATTACCTGAGCTTGGAGCTCAAATCAAAATCAACCCACCTGTCTGAATTTGTTTACAGTATGCATAATGCTGTATCAAATTCTGATTTTGGAATTGCAGAAAAGACCATGTCTTTGCTACAGTACCTAGAAAGTATTGGTCATATGCGTATTGTACATTGAATCCTCCAAGTTCATTGCATCTAAATATAATGGTTACATCGTCATTAATTGTAAACTTCTACATGTTGATGTGTTTCAGCCTGGAGTCCAATCTTCCAAATTGGAAAGTAAGGACCATAATCCATTTTCTGAAAGTAAAAATAAAATATTTAAACATGTGTCATACTGTAGGTCTGGCTGCCAATACTGAACCATTGTGTTCTGCTTGTAACTGTATGAAAGAACTGTTGCTAAAATGCAAATTGTGACCTATCTCCTTTTGACCGGTTACAGTGTCTGTATGGTTCATTTTGCAAATATACAAAACATGGGGTTTTTTCTGCTCTTTCAAAAGAGTTAACAGAGCTATTTAAAATAGTTCTTAATTCCAAGGCTGTGATGTTGAAAGCCAGGTGTGGTGGTCACAAACTGAAAAACATGTTCATGCACTGTAAAAATGTGTAAAGTCAATAAATGGTTGCTCATACATTGTTAAATTTAGAAATGCTCATTGGCTGAACGTGTCATTGAGTGTTGCCACAAAAAATAATTTGTAGTAAAAACTATACAATTTTTCTTACATTTAGATTTATGATATACAACAAAATTTTAAAAACTGGTCAGAATAGATTATTTTTTATCAAGTATGTAGTGAATTAAAGGTGTCTGACTGTATTTTTCACAGACCTGTAGTGAAACCTTTATTTTAAATATAAAATTGATATTCTTGATTTGAACTTTTAAGGCGACTACTGGTTGTGGTCTCACACCAATTTATTTGTTTATTAAATACTGAGCATCAGAAGAATCTTATCACTCTGTTTATTCATCTATAATAATCTGGATCTTACCAGATAATGGATCGAATATATTGATTAAATATTGGTGGTGACATTTTCATTAAATGTTCATTGCACGCTGACTGTGTTGCACATGAGTGACTTTGTTGCATAAACAATGATGTGCTTTTTTTACTCGGAGAGAGAGCTGACAGGGCTCAAGAGATGAGGTGATTTAACCTGTTAAATGTCAAGCCTGGTGAAAATCAAGAAAGAAGCAGAGCACAGAAAAGAACCAATATGTCCTGCTTGTTAAGAGAAAGCTCCCCTGCACCAGCAATTTTTAACCAGGCAATACACTACAGCCAAACAGTCCGTCACTGATCTGACACCTCACCAAGGGTGACATGTCATCATGCTCAATGTCCATAAAATAACTGCCAGTTACACTGCACCTGCAATGCCAACAAGTGATGGATGGCAGCCTCAATTCACAATGCTAGGTTGATCAGGCCCTGGGACCTCACAGGGGTGCCTTTCCAGTAGGCTAATTCTGACTTCTTCAAATGGAACAAGTGGGTCCCCAAGCTGCTTGTGTGGCAATAGCTGTCTTGCTAGATAAGAATGTCATATCATGTTGTGGATGTCATCTTCACCTGACTTGAATGTCACTGACCATTTATGAGCTATTGACCTAGGATACTGTACTGCCTCGAGGACTCATCGACCAATGAACAGGGAGAGTGTCCTAGTAGAGAGATGGGAAAGCAACCCGTAAGACAATTGATCACAAATGTTCATCAGCAAAGCAAATAAAGTTATGTTATGACTGCTCAATAAGATGTCTGCCCATGTTACAAAAAAGGTAATTCCAAAGATGAATTTGTTGCAAGTTTAAGCGATCATTTTCTTTTGACCATCAGTATATACGTGTTGTGTATAATGAACTACATAAAATAACTGTTTTCCAGGATTCAAGCTGGGTTTCAATATAAGGGTATTTCAATATGGAGTTTCTATCCATCATTTGAATAAATAAAATGTGTCAACCCTGGAAAAAAAGGGAAAGGGAAATAATATGTTCAGAAAGCAACCTGTGAGCCTGAATAGAACCACACAACAACAAATCACCTTTTTGCTTTAGGGGCTGGTCTCTAAGGATGAACAAGCTCCTCAGCAAGGCTGCTTTTCAGCTGAATTGGTCACAGGTTCACGCTGCCCATACAGTATATGCAGCTTTGTAGAGCTGAGCCTTGAAAAAGAATAGGGCTTGTAGGCTACTAAATTACATCTAAGTGTTTCTTTTACCTGAAGGGGTGCATTCATGAGCTGACATACAGTATGTACAGAGATTAAAGCCTGTGCAGTGCTAATGCTTTTCACTCTAAAAATATCTCCTCCTCCTCCTATCCCCTCCTTATTGAGTGCAGTATGGACAGTAGTTAGCCAGTAGTCCATGGTGTTTCTGGAGCTCTACCAAAACTGTCCAAACCCCAGTGTTCTGTTGGCTGGAGAATTTTGTCTCGCTGTCCACTGCTCATGTAGTTTAGACATTGTACATCTTAAACTGTATTATGCTACAGACAACTGCAATAAACCAGTAAGAAAGGATGGGGTTTACCCAAATGAGGATCTGCTGTGATCAACACTGGTCTCTCACCAGTTTGGAAAAATAAATTGAAGAAGCTGCTGTTCATTGGTTCTTGGACTTTTCTGATCTTATTTTTATGGATTCATGGTGCCAGGGCAGGGATGTTTTGCTAATGAAGTCAAGTCGGTATTGACCTGAAGCATTGTCCTTCTGCCACTGTTGTGTGATTTGACTTCTGACATCCTTTGGTGGAGAAGACTGAAGGGCACAACTACCGGGGGCTGGTTGAGGAGGGAGAAATTTTGATTTATTTTGAAAAATTTGGATGAATAAAAAAGTGGCTCAAAAAAAAAAAAGATGAGGGTGAGGAAGTGCTGAACTTTCTTTAACCATGGAAATTTATAACTAAATATTTGCAGTTTACTATGTATCTGTCTGCATGACAAAACCAAATGGATAATGATATAGGATTGCATTTTGCAAATTGCATTTTAGCTCAAAAAACAAAGGAGGTAATAAAGTAGTTAAATTAGTTCTACTTGATTTTACTGTATTTGTATGGTTTTACTTTTGTAGGGCATAGGCTATGTCTGGGTTCAATGCTTTACTTTTGACATTCACCCATTTAAAAATGAGACAGAGGGCAAATGACTGATAAAGCTCTTAATTCATAGCAGGAAAGTTGTAGGTTCAAATACCAGGTGAGGCACTACTGCTGTACCCTTGAGTGAGATGCTTCACTAAGATTTCTTTAATAACATGCCCTGTTTAGTAAATAAGAAACAGTTTATGTTTCTGTGATTATAAGCAATAAATTAATAATGAAATAATAATAATACTGTCCTGTGATATCACTGACTATCCAGATACTGTATTGATCCAGGAAAAACTTCAGCTCTTCCTTTTTTGACATATCAAATATTTCAGAAGTCAATGGGTAACACATGTTTTGTGCTTAGGTTTGCGTTTTCTAAGGGAAGATCTGGTGTTTTCTAGTTGAGTTTTCCTTGAGCAAAATCCCAGGGGATGGTTATGCAGTCTAATCTTGAAAGTTGTGTTAGCACTGTTATAGGTTTAGACTCAAATCAGTGATAAAATGGAAAAGTGACAAAGTTTCTGGATCAAACAAGCTTTTTTGAGCCAGTGGGAATTACCATGCATGCCTCTAAGAAAAAAAAGATGAACTTAAAGAGAGAAAATATATCTTATCTCTATGGCCTTCATGTGGACAAAAGCTTGCATAATATTTCTGAGTTCTGCTACAGTAGAAGTATACACATTCCCCAGACTGCTACAAATCCTCCCCAGTCACATACTGTACCACCAACATGATATAATTGGTAAAGATCAATCTGCACCTTTGTGCTTAACACTTGGCTCAGGATTCAGTAAAAGATATTCATATATTTAGGTTTTTTACCTTCTAAATGGGACATCGCTGTAGCAATGAAGATGAAAAAACATCATGAAGAGAAGAGTTTCCTATTCCTTTAGAGTGAGATTAGGTCATATTGGTTGAAAATTACAAGATAACCAAAAAGAATTTGCACTGTGCACAATGCCTTCCATGCATACAAGGATAAAAGTTGCAGACAGGCTGCATACCGTGTCCATCCCTCCATTTTCTAACCTCTTTATCCAATACAGGGTCATAGGGGAGCTGGAGCCTATATCAGCAAGCAGCAGGTGCGAAGCAGGGCACACACAGACACGCTCACACACTCAAGTAATGGTCAGTTACCCCAGAAGCCAATTAACCTACCAGTATGTCTTTGGACTGTGGGAGGAAACCCATTTGAACAAACGTCACACATATATCGCACTGCAAGGCGGCAGTTGTAACCATTGTGGCACCAAAATATACATCTCAACTTGTGACATTCTATGACATAGCTGCATAACCTGCTTCTCATTTAGTTTTGGAAACTTTTAAAAAGCCTTTCTGATGTAGTGGTTTATTGCATTATTTGTTTAGGAAATATGGTTTTATAAATGTCACTCTAAATTATAATTTATTATTCTTGTAGATCCTGAAACACCTAAAGAAGTACATTTCCAAAGAACAGTCTGAACAGATGAAGAAAGGTAGGATGAATGTATTAAATATTATACATGTGGCAAAGAACGTCATTCCCCTCTATCCTTTCCACACCTTGTCTGCCACGTGAAAAGGCCAGTTCTTTAGTCTGGAAATTCCTAAAATTTTGACCAGGGTGCATAGGAAAGGGTTTAGATTTCCATATAAAAATCTAGCCTAACCTACTGCATCTTAGATTTTATATGGGTGAGTGCTTTATTTTCATTATTAGGGGAGACTGGTGAGTATGTGAGAATTTCCAATCATTTTTCTCTGAGAGTCAATACACAAAGCCACTTAGACTGCTATTATTGACCATGAGAATGCAGAGGAAGCGAAGCCTTCTGACCTCCTTCTGCTCTTGCTCAGAAGGGTGTATTCTTCTAGCAAACCAACACTCAATGGGACTCTTTTCACCAGTGTTTTTTTAACCACCCTGTCACTTGTGATATGTGATAAAGCAGCCGTTTCTTATACAAATGGTGATATAAAGAGTGATTACTAAAAAATGAAGATGTTTTGCAGAAGAAAATTGTGAGGTGGCCCAGTTGCTGCTGGCCACTTCCTTCTTCTTGTGGTTTCCTCTTTCCCCAACTCCAGCGCAACACCGGTGTTGAAAGAAAAGGAAGTAGCTGTTTTTCTTGAGCAGAGCACACCAGACACTCAGGTTTGAGGGTGCTCTACCTCAATCATGAATGGAGCTACTGTTATTGTAGTTAGAAGAAGCTCACTTACCTCATGTTATTGAAGGAACCTTCAAATATTGTGGCTCCTGAAATGTCACACCACCACTCATCCTCAAGTTTCCGAAGCGGTGCTGAAGCTCAGCACTATGAGCTCTTAAGGAGACGCTGCCTCTCTCCAGCACACTACAGTGAATCTGTGAATCGTTTGGACCGCTATTTTCAGTGCTGCTGTGCCTTTTGGCACTGGGTAAGTAGGATAGGCCGTTCAAGGAGGCAGGAGTTAAAAAGCACTGGAATTTTGTTTTTTATGTAAAATAGCAAGCACATGTTTTTAGTTTTGATTCTGAACAACAGCCATAGCTTGCATCTCTTAATGTTACAAGAAAGTATTAGTAATAACAGAGAGCAGGAGATATATTTTATCAAAATATGCAGTAAAAAGTACTCTTCAGTTTTATCAATGTGCACAAGCAATGCTGCTCTGAGTTTTCTTTCCTAAAGGTACATTTTTTTCAAGTTTAGTTATTTCTGTGGTCCATTAATATTATCCTACCCTTTTGATTTCTAAAGGTGAGATCAGTAACTAAGGAGTCTAGAACTGGCTTTGGATTTTTAACTTATTTGCTGTTAATTATTGTAGGTCCTTCAGGCTGTTACTCGCACCGGTTCAATTATTTTCTCCCTTTCACTTTAAATAAGCATTTTAAATGAGTGTTTGTTAATGAGGAAGGACAGAAGCTTTGTAGTGTGCTAAACCTCACGTATACTGTTTCACATGTGAAAAAACATAACATCAATGCAGAACAAAAGCAGTCCAGGCTCGTTATATCATTCAACACTCTGTGACAATCGATTTTAGCTCACTTGACGCTCTATAGAGTGTAATTTTAGGCTGATGCACTATTGGAGACCTCTTGAAAAGTAATCTAAGGATTACAGTATGAAAAAAAAGTCTTCAATTCAGAGACATTAATATAAGGAAGCAAAAAGTGAATTTTTCATCCTTTGGTTTCCTGTAATTAAATAAAAAAGATTTTCATAAAGCTGTAAATTGAGACATATGGGGAGTTTTAAAGAAACCCATTGCAGGAAATGTCTTGCCCACAGATACATCAGCTCCGGAACAAGAATGCTGTCTTACTTTCTGAAACCAGGCAACCACTGGATTTTGTCTGTTTCATTTAAAAAGGTCTGAGTAGAAAGGTTGATATTTTCATTCTTTTTGTTTCGGCCATGGCCTCTGGTGTTGTTCTCATACAACTATATCATTAAACATTTCCAGTTCTTGAAGGTCATGGTCCAACAGATACTTTAGGTAGACAGTGTTATAATAGTCCTTCAGGCAAATGTTTTTTTTAAAATGCTAAGTTAGGGTCTTTATGAGAAAAAAGAAGTAGAAATCCCTGCAACTCTGAAGGACTGAAGCTGGCCACCTTCGATCTGCACCTTTGAAATAACATCATGCTCATCCTTCTATCTGATCTGTGTGAAAAAAGGAATATTTTTCATAATTAGATGTCAAAATTCTAGTTTTGTATTAACTTCAGAAAATGTAAAAGCAGAATAGTGGAACTGACAGGAAAAATTGAAGACCCTCTTTAATATCAGTTTGTACAGTATGTCCCTGTCCAGCTTCCTCACAACCTGGGAATTTGGTGGTTTAGCTTTGAATGAGTGAACACAGCAGTGTTGAGATGATTATTTTTTATTGGGTAGCAGTTGTGAGTTACAGATTGCAATTCCGTGTTTGTGCAGGTTTCTGTTTTGTGCTCACTCTGCCTACTCCATTGGAGTAATATACAGTAATAGATAGCCAAGGTTGTATTTGGTGTTGTATATTTGTATCTTATTTTGTTAGATGGAATAATAATAGAACACTGATTGGTTGATGGTGATTGCAAGGCCTTTGTTTTGCTCTTTTATGTTTCACCACTAGGAGGGTGTTATAAGACACTCGTATGGTTTGCTACAGGTATCTAAGTATGGGGTCCTCAAGTCCAGCGAGAACTGGGTTAATTCTGGACTGTCTGTGAGTCCAGGATTAACAAGTGTGCTTGTATTTTGCTTTGGATTTATAGTGAATGAGATAAAGGAATGAGCTTTTGATGGTTATTACACTTTGTGTTTTTATTAGATTTTGCAAGAGGGGATCTGCTTTTTAATTCTGGTAATACCTGAGCTTTTTTTCATTTTAATGAGAAAGTATCAAAAGTATCATCAGCAAGACTATTGCTTTAGTTTTTACTTGTGCCCTATCCTCAATCTTGGGAAGAAAGAACTTGTGCTGAACATTACAGACAGCAGTGGGAAATCTAACCATATCTGTACCTGTATTAGTAGTTGGATTAGTCAAAAAGCATAAGGACTTTGTTAGTTTGTATTTTTTTAAATGTTATATTCAAGTTGAACTCAGTAAAGTGTGTGCTGCTTTTTAGATTGATTTCCTTATTGAGTTATTATTATTAGCTGCTGTGGCTGTTGTTTCAACAGAGCATAGCTGCATGGGCCATTCACTATCTACCTGATTAACCTTCATCTGCCACCCTTTACTTCCAAATCTGATGTGATTCTGTGCTTTAAAAGGCTACAGTTTTCCCACTGGCAGTCAGGCTGTCCTCTCAAAAAAGGTAGTTGCTGGACTAGATTCTTTTAGTGACGATGGGCACATTGAAATTCTGAGCATGCACCACTCGATAAAGTTCAACACTTGTGACATTACTGTATTATCTCGCTCAGTTATCTCGGGGATAATCAACGAGTAACACGTACTTTACACCTAATGCTTTGGGAATTTATATGCAACTCCTTGTTGTTTAACAAATAGGCCATCTCATTGCAACCTTTTCTATACGCATCTTTTTCAGTTCTTTCACTACTTTACTTAATTGTTTACCAATACAGCATTTATTGTCTCTCACATAGAAATCAGAGGGCAAATGAGGTTTACAGGATACGCACATTGCAGCATCTTAACAGACAGGTTCAAAGAAATTCTGTTAGCAATAAGACCTTTTTCAGGAATTGTAGACAGAAGGAATTTTACTCTTTGAAGTCATTATCAGACTTATGCACAGCTATATGTAAACATGATTAAACTGAAATGACAAATGGATCTTGTGACCAAGACATATTTATGTGTTTGCCAGCATTATTTGTCCATAAAGTGACAGAAATATCAGTCTGCATCACCATTGAAAAGTGACCATGATTAGTTCCAAAGCTGAATGGGTTACAGTAGATCTGAAAGCAGTGCCTTTCACCTGCTATCTGATTTCCTTATTCATTTTAAAGTCTAGTACACAGAAACCTTCTTTATCCTTCAGAACCATTCAAAACTACTGCTGCTACTACTTATAATAACAGCCATGACTTCATCCTTAAGGTGTCTGCTTTTTGTTGTGTCATATAAAGATTATATGTTCAGTTTGAAATCCTTACACTCATTTAGACTCATGTATTATGACTTGGGAATATGTGTAGTTTTCTATTGCATTACTTAGTGGTATAGAAATTGATTTGTCAGTCTCTGTCACTTAGTTTCAAAAATAAGATATAAAAAAGTTTGTATGGAAAAAATGACTACTACATTGCAGTTCAAAAGATTATGCACTTATTGTGCTGAAATAAACATTGTGCATACAGTATTCAGCCAAGGTTTAGAAGTTCTTATGCCATCACCATGAATTACAGCTGTTTTGGAGAAGAAGTGCTCATGTTTTTTTCAGTCGCAGGTGCCCAACTTCAGTCCTCCAAGGTCAGAATTCAGAAGGTTTTCTAGTTCTTCTAAATCATGAACAGCTGAAAGCCTTTGAAAAGTGTTAAATTAGTCCAGTAAATGGTGTGTTACCTGTAAGGCAAGCCTGCAGAGACAACTGCCCTCTAGGACTGGAGCTGTGAAAAAAATGTAAGTGTTCAAATAGATCACAGCTTGAACAGTCATGGTTCACTGTTTGCTTATTCCAAATGTCAGGATTCTTTCCAGTAGTCTCAGTGCTTGAAAAGTGAGTGAACAGCTAATCGGTACTATTTGCTTGCTTGCAAAAAATATTCCCTAAAATAATACCTAATACCTAAAAATAAAACAAAAGACACTTGTCATGTAGTGATTCCAATGTACTTTACTATTTCTGTGATAAACTATGATTAAATTAATCAGTTGAAATGTTTGTAAGTCAGTTCAGTACAGTGCCAATGTTGTGTTCCGGCAGTCACTAGGGAAAAAATAACCTATCCCTTCCTCCAATTGAGTATTAAAACAATACAAAAGCAGGCTGAAGTCAGAAAGGGACACGTATGAATTATAGATCTGTAAAGAAATGTAACTTAGCAACATTGTAATTTAGTGTACTGAAGATTGCTCGCATTCCTTTGATGTTTAAGTACTCTCCATGATGGCTCTCTTTTAACTCCATCTCCAGATGGAAAATAAAAGTATGTGCCAAGTACCAGATTTCTGGAAAAAATGTTTATGGACATCAGGCTGGAGAGCACATTAAAAAGCATATCTTAGTAGATGGATGAATGCAGATAGATCCGACAAGTCAGTACTTTCATTGAGACTGAAGTGGTTAATATTCTAAATTACTTTGCAGGACTTCACTGTCACCTTTATGCTTGAGATTATGTTCAGTGTGAAAGTATTCCCTAAGGTGTGTAAAAAAACAGTTCTAGCATTTTGTGGCATTATTAACTCACAGCTATATTTCAACCATGTAACATTTGTATATTTAATAAAGAAGCTATTAAGGAAATATTATTATTTATTTAATTATGCAACAAACAGACTAAATTGTTTGTCATTCAAATTTATACTATGCGTAAACATAATGAGTTACTCAGGGAAATATAGAAAATGTTTGGCTGATATTATTTAGGTTTTGTTTTGTATACAAAGATCAACCGTGTCAGATTCATATATTGTGTTGTTGGTTTTATATATCATGTCAGTATGAAAACTCATGAAGGAAATGCAAAGTCACACATGGCAAATTGCTTTGGGCTGTTTTAGGGGTTTGGTACTGTTCCAGACCATGGTATTAGTATCCACCAAATACAGTACATGGAATCAGCAATCAGCACAGGTTCCACACTAATGTAGTCAATCATACTGTCCGCCTGGGATGAGTGGGACAGAATTGTAAGATAATGACTCTGGACATGCTTCCAGGACACAATTTGGAGCTGCTATAATTTAAGATGAATCAGGAGTCTGTCTGTTGTCTGTTTAATATTTTGTGTGTCTATAGTATGAATGACCTCTTCAGATCATCTACGAACTTTGGAGAGTCTGTGGATCTTATTTCCGCAGTGATGGACTAACAGCTGACACTTCCAGATAAAATATGATTATTCATCAGAGATTTTAGAATGTTTTTCAAGCCTTTGTAAGATGTGATGAGGATAGCAGCACACAGTCAAAAATCCCTTTAATGGAGCCATAATGATCTGATGTAATGGTTGGAGTAGCTAAGGCCAAAATGACATCTTCCAAAATGACCGAACTCACCTGCCCAGAGCTCAGAGGTTATTAGTCCCCAGGCTGCAGTGTTAGGTATCAGCATGAGTACTACAGTATTATTCAGGGCCTCATTGGGTAGCCCAAAACAGAACTGCAGTGGAAGGAAGCTACTGTAGAATCACTAGCTAGACAAATCACCAGGTGATCATTTCTCAAGTGTGTATTACTGTATACTGTATATCTAACCTTGGGTCACAATTACTTTCAGTACAATTAGGGGTTTTGGATTTTGCATTATTACATTCGAGAAGTGGACCTATGATGAGAAATGTGCTAATCTGTACATTCCTTGCATATACTGTAATATATTATATAAATTCAAATTCCACGTCTTTCTTTTTGTCTGTCAGAATTACAGTATATTGTAGGTTGGACTCTTTTGTATACGTCTGAGCTGTTCAAGCCTTTTCTTTTGTGTTGCAGGTAGCTGATGCACCTGTGCTCTCTTGCAGATGAACTGCTATGATCGGAGGCTGAGGCGCACTGTCCCTGTCCGAGGGAGCAGCAGCAATGAGCTCGTCTCTCCTCCACAGCGCTCCAGGGTCAATGGCTGGTCCCTGCCCCTCCATTCCTTCCAGTTCATCGCCTGGGTGGTCTACAGCTATATGGCAATCGTAGGATTTGGCATTTATATACCCCTGCTGCCTTACAACTGGAAATATGCTGGATACTCTGTATCCTTTAAAAAGAAAAAAAAAACATGAAACAATTCTTTGACATGCAGACTACATGAATGACAGTGTTGCAAGGGTCTCAGCGGAAGATATTGATTCGTTTGGGGTAATGGCAGATTTGGAATCTATGCTTTCACTCCTCCCTTGCACTGCATGCTTCTGGGATAAGCTCTATGTTGCCATGACCTTCACATAGACATTTGACTTCTTGATTATGGATGGATGAATACGCTGCTTAAATGAGATGGGAGATAGTCACTCAAACGCTGTACTGAAAAAGGTTTCTTTTTTTTAAAGAGGCATAAACGTGTGATTCCGTTGAGTAATTTACTTCAGCGGTGCATCTTTCCTTTCTATGCTTGGCGAGAAAGGCAAGCTGGTACAAAGGCCTTGATTGGTTAGAGAAGGCAGAACTAGTACGTGTGCCACTGCTGGGCTTTTGGAGATGCAGTAGAAGCTCATCTTGTTAATAAACATGGTAAATGGGTAGCCTCAACTGATTTTGTTTATTCTTTCTGCAGATGATACTCTTCATGCAGAGTAGGTCACTCACACATGCAGATTTTTTTTTCCTTTAGCCTGAGGAGGAGGCTTGTTTTGCTTTCACATCACCAAGGAACTTAATTAGTAACCCATCTGCCTCAGTGAAAGGTCAAACTGCAGTAGTTTTAAAGTGAGTCATGCTTGCTGGTGTGTTGGAACGCCTACAAGTGCGTGCTGCTTGTAATGGTCAATGTGCAGTCCTGCTCATTCCTGCGAGGGTGTGTGGTGTTAGTTTTGGATGTATGCCATTAATTTAGTAAGTGGGACCATAAATGTAAAAAAATAAAAGAAACTTTGTGTCACATTTGTGTGAAAATAAAAACCTGCTGTTACTCGTGGACCTGGTTGGGCTAAAGGGCCTAAGATCTTTGCCACAGTACTTTTGAAAAAAAAAGCAGCTTATTGCTTTCTTTTTCAGGCATGAAATGAGATTAGCATGAATTAGTATAGCTGAATTAACATGGACCTTCTTCTGCTTCTAAAATAGGGTGCCCCAGTTAACCTCCTTGACTTGTACATGTGCAGGTAATTGGTGTGGCATTTGTCTTCCATTTTGTGACACACTTGGTTGCTGTATCGATCGATCCAGCAGACCCCAGCATCCGTGCAAAGAAGAACTACAGCAATCCCATGCCGGTCCTAGACAAGAGGAAGCACCCCCATGTCATACAGAATCTGCACTGCTATTTGTGTGAAGTCGATGTGTATGTAGTCCCACTGCCTTACCTTCTTAGCTCTCTTGTTTGAGACCTGTGTTCTTCCTCATCTCACGATTGTGGATGCTGTTTTATTTCCAGCACTCCCTGTTTAATCACAGCTCACACAGTGTAAATCCCTACTTTCTTGCTGAGTTCCAGTGTGTTTTTCACTGAACTAGAGGGAAGAAAACTGAAAACCTGCTTCACTGAAACTGAAGTAATGGATTAGTTGACTAAGGTCAAGGGTCGCAAGTGTCAAAACAAGGAGACTGATATACCTATGACCATTTGTACAGGTGTAAGTTAATCTCTTGAGGGGAAATCTAATGTCTGTTTTTCTACTTTTTTGCTTTAGAAAATATCTTAAGTGATGGTGGACCACAGTTCAAAATAGGAGATCAGTAACAATTTCAGGCATCACTGTGTATTCTATACTATGTTTTGAAGATGTACTTTTTAACAAAAAAAAAACTGGGCCTGTATTATTTCTTATTGAAATAAGCACAGTTTTTTAAGTAAGTTTGAAAGCTTTGCAACTTCACTTTTCAGAGGTTTACAAGGTCAAGAAATCTCCATTTTCAGTCTTAAAAACATGGATACTGCTGATGTTTGCTTCCCTGTCCATATCCACATAAGATAACAAAACAAGATGGGCCAGGTTTCTTCAAATTTACAGTGGTAGCCACACCAAATATGCTTCACACAGGATTATGCATTTCAGAAGTAATTCAGTTTTCCTATTTGTATTTTTCATTCTAGAGGTCCAAAAGTGAAACACTGTAGCAGCTGCAACAAGTGCATTTCAGATTTTGATCATCACTGCAAATGGCTGAATAACTGTGTGGGAGGAAGAAACTATTGGTAAGAGATGCCACAAGATGGTAGATTGTGGAGCATTATAAACCTTTTTTTGAAATTTAGTAATTTTTGGTGGGTTGTACAACACATTCTTTGTGATACTATAACACCTCAGTAAATGCCCAAAATGTGGTCACTTAAAGTGTGTACTCAGTAATGCTTTGCCCCCAAATTACTTTTATATTAATGTAACCATACACTTCAAATTAAGATGTCACTATCTATTGAAACAGAATTTAAAACATTATTGTATCGAGATAGCTTCTACAGTATAAGCCTCTAGGGCCTGATGTTGCCTGCTGTGTAGCAAGTGTAAAAATTGTATTATTTCCTGTGAATATTGGAGGACTGAATCAAGGCAAACTCTTAATATTACAGACTCTGATACTATAGACACGTTACTATCCAGTATCTATGGACACTATATACTATCCAGTATTATTTAATTCCCTATACTACATCATAATTAATATTTGCTTGGATAGACTCTAAAGAGGCATCTTTTAAACTGTGGAGGGTGGGAAAATGGCCTAAATACCACAAATGTTTCTTGTGAAATTTCTTCTTGTCTTGAAGTAATCTGTTGAAGTTTCATCAGTCAGTTCAGCACTCTGATGCTGTGGGTCATGAAGGTAATTTGTTTGTTCCAATTAAAGCCATGTCATACTTTGGGCTTTGGGGACCATTACAGTTCCTGAGGTGCTGAAATATATATTAGTATACTGGTATCATCCAACTACATTACCCTCTTTTAGAAAAATGTGTGATAATCAAATCCTATACTAAAGTGAAATGAAAAACAATGAGCTGATCCTTTTTTTATGTAAAGTAGCTCCAGCTTTTTTCAACAAAGGAAATTTGATTTTATTTTTAATGTTACAAGCAATTTTCTTCATGTAATCGAATAAAGCACCTTTCCAGACCCAGGGACAATGTACATAGTGATACAAATGACATTAAAAGTAAAATAATTAAACCAAAACAAATAGGATAGATATAGGCCCTAGTAAAAAAGAGTTGAGTTTTGAGTTTAGATTTGAAAAGTCAAAGACTTTCTCTCTGCAAATCAGTGGAAGGGCATTCCTAACAATGGAGCAGCAACAGAAAAGGTCACCAAAAGTCCAAGATTTAGTCCTGGGTACAGTGAACAGAAGACCAGCCTCAACTGAACAGAGCCAACGGGAGGGAGTGTAAACATGGAGGAGTTCAGAGCTGTACTGTATGATGGAGCCAAATAATTTAAAGCCTTCAAAGTCAATAATAGGATCTTGTCTTAAGTGTAGGAGTGATATGCTGCCAAGGTCTGGTGTGAGTTAGAAATTTAGGAACAGAGTTTTGCATATATTGCAACTTAGAAGAAGAGGAGCCCATGGAAATGAAGCGTTGATGTTATAAATGTATGGCACCCAACATTGGACTCTGACAGACATTACCTAATGCAAGCAATAATTCCAAAGTGATAAGATGTTTCAATCAGATTTTTCACATGGGACTCAAAAGATGGGGAGGATTGAGTGAATCCCAGATTCCTGATTACTGCTGGCTTTCATTATGGCTATCAAGGCTCAAAATATATGAATTAGTTCTATCCAGCTTTAATTTTGTCATTTATAGCTCCCTATGATTTCTATCATGGTTATCACAAAGCATATAAAATTGTTACTGTACAAAAATCCAGTCAGCTAGAGCTGAATGCAGTGTATTTTGTTTTTCAGGTTTTTCTTCCTTACTGTGGTTTCTGCAGTCTTTGGTGTCCTGCTGCTTGTATTTGTCATCCTCTTTATATTTATTGAGCATTTTTTGAACCCAGCAGAGTTGCGCACGGCTCCGCAGTTTAACAGTAAGTCTTTCTGAGCACCAACCACTGTAACTTGTATTGCATCCAGACTGCTGATGTATAAACAACGGGAAAAAAAAATGTTCAGTGCGTTGTGAAGAAAATCTGAGACACTTCGTACCTGAAGTGAGATGGGAGATGATTTGCTTGTTTTTTCTTGGAAAACCAATTGCAGCCAGAGGACTAACAGATCTTAAGGTGCTGTTTGAAATTTGACATAGATTTTACAGGCATCTATCCTCCTGCTCTCTGGCAAGTTTCACAGGGGAAGACAAATCACCACTTTCTATTAAAGCCTGTAGAAGTAGAACAAAGTAAAGGAGAGCAAACAGGCAACATCATACTGTGAGCAGAGGAACTGAATTGGTTTTGGTTCCTTTCTGATGGGCTGCCCGATAACTGGTGACATTGCAGTGTGTCGGTATTTTCACAAATAGGGGTTACTAAAATAGAGAATACAAGAAGTAGGCAGAAGAAGCAGGTTAATCAATAATTAAATAGTCACAGCCCCCAAGTATTAAAGACTATGCCTAAGTAGTTGAAATAATTAGAGTTCTTTATTCTCCGGAATAGCTTTGGTGAAAAAGTAATAAATCAGGCACACTGGCTTAACCAAATATTTATTAATAATGACAACACAAACTAAACGACACAGAACATATACAAGTTGCACTAATTATGATGTAGTATTGTAGCATCGTTTATTTACACAGTAATACAAATCTATAATTTGTCATTTCTTTCATAGATTTTCTCCATTGTTTCCAGAATTCACTCCCAAACTTTGTCATTCAGAAATAATCCTCTAATGTTGAACGATGTGTGTGAAACATACTTTTTCTCCGTAGATATAGCTGAGAACAGCACATGGCTTGCATTCCTTCCTGTTGCTCCCATTGAAACGAGTTCTGTTGGAATCCTTGTGGTTGCTTTCATTACTTTCATGCTGGGAGTCGCCTCTCTGCTACTCCTGGGGCATTTGCTGGGATTCCATATTTACCTCTGTAAGTAAACCCTTGACCTCCTGTCTGTAAACTTGCTCTTTTGAGTGAATTCTTCTGTCTTTCCTTGTGCAAAGCAGGTGTACACTTAGACAGCCCTTTTTTTCTAGTTTGTCATTTGTAATTACTTTTCAGAGTGTTTGAGTTGTTGCGTTACAATGTGGAAATAAAGGTAAAATACATTCTGATTTAATCTGTCTTGATTTCAGGCTGTTAGGTCACGAAATGAGTTACTTTGGAAAGGGTGTTTCGATTTTCTATCGGCACTGTATATATATTGGATTCTTCTTATGCAGATGTGCAACTATAAAAACACTTGTCTACTGACAAACAGAATAAAGACCTTTCCTCAAAGAAAATTTGTATGTCGGCCTTTCCCTCATGTACATTCGAAACTAAGAGTCTATTCATATGCGAGAGACTGTGTTGCTTTTTTTGTCTCCCGCAGTGATGAAAAAGATGAGCACTTATGAGTACATAGTGAAACAGCGACACACACAGAGCATTAGAGACCAGAATATAGGAGCCACTCAGTCCACTACAGCCAGTGGCACCTCCCTTGAGGTAAACCCATTATCCAGCTTTCCTTTTCAGCATTTAACCATCTTGTTACAAAAACGCAAAAGCCCATTCGGGGTTTATTGAACAGTCTGTGCCACCATGCCTTTGTAGAATTTACCCCCTGTGGAGTCCGCTGTGGACTGTGATGCTCCATTGTCTGGGAGGGCGAGGTGAGTTTCTGCAGACATGATGAATTACTATTACGGGTGGAATGTAAGTTTTTGGAAAATTACTATCATAAAAAAACACTGAAAGTAAGAGTAAACAAAAACATTCTGTGCATCATTTATATTTTGTCAGAACCTGTCAGGATTTTAACTATTTGTTTTAATGCCTTGTTTCGGAGATACAGTGTCATTGACCTATTTTTATGACATAAAGCAACAAGAGTTATTCTGAACACTCCTCAGCCAATGCACATTATATGGGCTGCCTTCATTTGACGGCGTAGGTTGAGAAGCATACAGAAAACCACAGAAGAGCTTTAATGTTTATTTGAATGCAGGGTTAATTATCTTAATTTTCCCTCAGAGAACCTCAGTCTTGGTACTGTGGGTTGGCATCATGGGCTGTTGACATACAGTACATATAATGAAAGACTCCTCTATGAGCAGATGCTTTGTGGCAAAATTGACAAGGATTTTGAAAAAGGTCTAGTGTATTCTTGTTTCTGTTCTGTTCCTTGTTTCTGAAACTTGAGTTCTCAGTTATCTAAAGGTTCCAATTATTCAATTAACTGCATAAGTCTAATGCTTTTAACCATGCTCTGAAGTGATTCATAGGTAACCATACCTTTATTTACATTTGATGAGTAGTCAACTGTAAAAGACCTTATATTTGTTCAACAGGGAAAATTATTTAAGTTGTGTAATTAACTACATAACAGAACTGGACCAAAAAGAGAAAACACTACTCCCTCCATGTTTTGGTTTTGCATACTGTAGGAGAAATGAGGGTGGTACTGTACATGGAATTTCAGTAAAGATAATGTGGAACCATGTGAACTGTGTTTATGATGATGTCTTTCGTATTCACAGTGCTTTAAAATATCAAGATAAAGTCCAAGTTGCCAGCAGGCTCTCAAATGGTATTTGCACAGAGGTGAGTTTCTATTTATGAATTAATTAAAAAAAAAACATGTGTAGATTAGTCTTAGTATCACATCTGGTATCACATCTGTAAATATTTTTTTTTTACACTCTTCGTATCGATGGTTACAAAAATGAGTATTAGTTGTTTATGCTAATGGCTGCCAGGAATAACTGTAATGAATAATGCTTTTTTTCTGATTTCACATTTAGTTTCTGTTTACGTAGATACCAGATGCTTACAATTAAAACATATTTATTTATTTAAGACAGGTAGTTTCCAAAGTGGTCCAGGAGACAGTTTTTATTACAGCCCAAAGTCTGCTTCTCAGTCATTACCAGGTAGGTTGTTTTATTCCTAAACTGTGACAAATGGTGTGTGAACCCTTTGTTTCCATTCACACTCAGGTTGTGCTGGTCCAAGAATCGTATTCATTACATTTCCAGAGAGGGAACCAGTCACACAAGAAATAAGTTGCCGCTCTGCTCAGGTGGCAGAAACAGTAAATTCACAATAAATTAATCTCTGTAATCAGAAAAGCTATACTTGCATAGAATATGAAAACTACACAACAAAGAATATGAAAATGAAACTAGGCATCTAGGCATCAGTATCTCATTGGGAATATAGACCATGTGATTTTAGAGTTTAAACTGTGACCAAATTTAATTGCTTGCCTGTTTGAGAACTGTTGTTATTTGGGCTAACAACTTGGGATATGTTGTGTGATTTCATAAAAATGTCAGCTGCTAAAGGAATTAAGAGTCTGTAATTAACAGTATTGTAATTAACTCAATAAAATTAAAAAGAAAACTTTTAACCTTAAGTAGTAAAGATTACTTGGTTGGGAACGGCTGAAGTCTCAGGTGAATCATGCAATTGGTGTTTCCCCCCTCTCCTCCCCTCATGGAAAAGTGGTTGGAGAACTTATTTTTCTTTAAATTTTTTAAAGCTTTTAAAAACTGAGGTTTAATTGTTCAGTTTGTCTGTCTGTCCAATAGATGTTTCTAAGATCAAGTAAAATAGAAACAAGAATTTTAATCTTTTAGGATGTATTTGCACACACAAAGGCTGGATATTATTTTAGTCCATTTTCCAATAACAACTTGAGATAAAAATATTAATAATATTTTAATTACAAATCCAAATTCATTACAAACAGACTTACTTTAACTACCATTATCACAAAATCCCAGTAAACTCAGTCACTAGTTCATTTAGATACAGTTTTCCAGTGATTTCATATTCTACTGACATTGTGGCAATTCCAACCAGTCTCTCTTGCACCATTGTTGAATGCAGATAGTTAAAAGAATGTGTAGAGGTAAAAGCTGAGAGTTTATTTTCTCATATAAACATCAGTACTTCTTCAGGAGTAGGATGTTCCTGGAGTTGTCTAGAAAAAGCATGAAGCTCACTAAACAAATCTGCATCTGTTTCCATGTGACAATGCTGACACTAGTTTTGTACAAACTTCCCTCCCTCATTTTGCCATTTTCTTTTGCAAGCTGTGGATACACTATCATATAGAGAAGCCAATCACAGACATTTAGCTGCTCCATCTGTTTAATTCTTTTGGCAACTGAGTGAAAAGCAGTATCAAGGACCGCGATGTAGGAATTGAGTTGGAAACTCTGATCTGGGTTCTGAACTGCTATTTCTAATCCTTTATAAGAAAACTCATTTCTTTTGATGAATGCAAATAATTCGAATATTGCAAGAAATATACAGATCAAATCCTTCATCACTTTTGAATTCCTCCAGAATAGCGATTAGAAGTGAGGTTTATCTTAAAAGGGATATTGTACAGTACCACAAGATGAGTGAAGTCAAGAGATTTACATTTAAAAATGCCATCCTGTTGCATGATCCAGTAAAGGTAGTATCATCAGCAGTTTCAATTAGGGCATCATAAATGTTTTCTAGTTCATAGCAAAGAGGATTCAAATGAATTATTATTTACAATAACAACTAAAAAACACATTACACAATATGTTTACAAAACAAGGCAACACAGAACTTAAGTTAAGCAGACACAAAATACTAACCCTGTAAAATGAAGTCCTACTGTATATAATGCCTAAACGGGCCAACAAAAGAAACTGCCTAAATTAACAGAATCCAACCCAGTGCTACAGTACATCCCTCTTCGTTATAATCCTGGATGTCCAAAAGTCAAAGGGACTCGGTCTACCCATTCTAAAAATGAATCACCAAAACCAAGACCAGAACAAGGTCCACCCACCTAGTGCTTCTGTTTCCTGTTAATTCCACGTCTCTCTCTGTTCATCTCTATTGTCTTCCTTTCTCTCTCCTGTGTCTTTTTAAGATGTCTTTCTGCACGTTAAAAGTTTATTCTTCAATTTTTAAATTTTAAATGTCTTTTCAATTCAAAGATCCTGTCTTTCACAGCCCACTCTCTGCTACATTAACAGCTCCAAAGCATATTTTAGCCCTTATTTCTTACACTTAAGCCAGTTATAAGAAAGAAAACTGCATTATATAGCTAAGGTTTAATAACTCTTAACTCACTTAACTCAGAACTCACATTCTGTATTTATGAATCGGAAAGTCATGATATCACCACTCAGTAGCAGTAACACAGCCAGCAGTGCTAAGAGCAATAGCAAGAGCACAGTGACAAAGAACGTGGTGAGACTGAAATTCATATTCTATGGTATTATAAGCATATTTGATGTATTAGTAAATTCTCAGAAATGTATAGCAATTCATTATAATTCATATTATTCCCTCCTTACACACGTTAATTGAAATAATTACATCTTTTTATTGTATCTTTATTTTTAATTTTTTTAATAGTTTTTTAAAACTAATTTTTAGTTCACCTACGAGTGAGCTGGTTCTGAACCCTGTTGCAGTATCATCATGACTGATTCTGTTTCCCATTTAAAAACACTTAAACTCTGTTAATTATGGAACAAGGCTGGGGCCTATCATACTTTGTTCCATCAGTTACAATTGCAGATGATGAAGGTCTCTAAGTACAGTTGTTACCTTGTATGTCAGTCCTGCAGTTTACCATGTGATATATGAGATGTCTGTGCAATTACTTGTGTCAGCTGTTGAACGGGACATTGCAACGGTTTTCAACAGAGATATATGTAGCATACAATGATTGTGACATTTATATTAAAATAATTCTGGGTAAAATAATTGTCATGCTTTGTT